AGAAAACATACATAAAGTAACAATCCTACATAACTGCAAAGTGGTAAGAGTTGACTGATTGGGAATGTCATGATTGAACACTTTCTGAACTCTGGTCACTTTGGCTCCAAAGGCTATATTCAGAGTTACGTGTACAATGAAAACACGAGACAGCCAGGTAGGCATGAGACCAGAAAGAGGGTGGATTGATCGTTTCTTCACCCTTCGACAGATTCTAGAACATAGGAATTCCTACCGGCGTCCAACAATTACTATATTTCTTGGCCAAAGGCGGGATTCCATTCTGTCGACCGAGAGGTACTCTGGCGATGCTTGGTCTTGGTGGGAATGCCGAGGAAATACATTGCATTGATCAAGGCACTCTGCTCAAACTCATGCAGTCAGCCAGGTGAGAGCTTACGGGGAATTATCATCTGAAATGGTGACGATTAGTGGTGTCCGTCGGAGGTGCCCAGTAATCCCCATTTCTATTCAATTTCACCATAGATGTACTAATTGGCTTAACCCTTACTCACTTCAGAGACTCAGGGATTGACTTCCTACCAGGGAATAATCTCATTGACTTAGAATATCCAGATGATATATTCCTTCTAGGCGAGGACGCTGACGAAATGCAGTCTTCTGAACACCCTGAGCTGCAATCTACGAATGTTTGGCATACGATTCGCTCCCGCCAAATATAAGATGATGTTACAGGACTGGACAACACTGACTTCTAGCTTAGAAATAGGGAGTTAATTGGTAGAGCACGTTGACCGCTTCACTTATTTGGGAAGTACCGTCAGCCAGTCCTCGTGGCTTGATCGCTGACGAAATCTCAGCACAAATACAGAATGCTCGTTCGGCATATGCCAGTTTACGCCGTCTCTGGCGTAGACGTTATATCCGGCTATCGACTAAAGGGCGGGTGTACTGCTCATCACTCCACTCCGTCCTCCTCTATGGCTGTGAGACCAGGCCATTGAGAGTGGAAGACATGAAAAGACTAGCTAGCTGTCTTCGATCATAGGTGCTTGCGCTCTATCTCCCGTGTGAAATGGTATAATAAGGTAAGCAATATTGAGGTGAGGCGTCGAGTGCTAGGTAAGGAGGGGAAATCAATCGACTAGGCTGTGAAATTACATCGACTAAGATGGTTACGACATGTGTTACGTATGCCTAGTCATCGCCTTCTTCGACAATCGGCAATGTTAGCTGACAACGGTCAGGCTGGAAAAGATCTAGTGGCGGTGGTGGTCAAACCAAAACATGACACCAGTCAATGAAATCTACAACAGTTAGTTTAAGCCAGTCACCTTGGAAGGTGCAGACTTCCTGTTTGGGGTCCTCGAGACGGTAAAAACCAATGGTTGGAACCATCGGTGATATGGCTCAAAATCGTTCTCAATGGCTGGTGCAGATGCATCCACTCCTTGTGACTTATGATTTCCAATGAAACTGTTTTGTTCTTCGTTATTACTCCGCCTTTGTCTCACACCTCTGTTTACTGTCTCTAGTATGCATTTCTTGTACTTTCTTCTCTTGCTTTGTGTGCTACATGGAGTGTGGCGACTTGAACTGCCGCACATCGGTGCAAAGTTGTATGTCGAATATAGACAGACACGAATGTGTCCTATAAAAATCTGCTGACGGATAGTCTGTCTGGATTCAACATAGAACTTGGCAACGAAGTGCACCAGTTCGAGTTTCCACTTCCAAATAGCACACAAAGGCAGACAAGAAGATGAGCGAAGAGAATCAATAGAGTTCGACAAGTATAAGAGCGAGACAGAATGGGTAATGGTAGAAAGGAATATGAAAGATTACCGAGACTGAATACATCTGCGCCGTTGACAACGATTTTGAGCCATGTCATCTATTGTCTCCAGCCATTGATTCCTAGAGTCCCGAGGGCCCCAACCCGGAAGTCTGCATCTCCCTACTTGACTCAGTTTAACTGTCAAGGATTTCATGGATTGATGCCGTGTCTTTGTTTGGCCACCATTTATTCTTTTCCAACCTGCACCTATATCAGCTAGTAATGCCCGTCGGGGGAGGCGGTGGTTAGGCATGCGCAGCATGTCACATAGCCATCTCAGTCTATGTAACTTTATAGCCCCGTCGATCGATTTTCCCTCTTTGCCCAACACTCTACGCCTAACGTCAACATTACTTACCTTGTTAAACCACCTAACGTGAGACAGGGATCGCAGACATCTATGATCGAAAGCGGTCAACTTTTCATGTCTTCAACGCGTATTGGCCATGTTTCAGAGCCATAGACAAGGACGGAGGGAACTGCTGGGAAGTAGAAACGTCCCTTGGTTGATAATCGGATGTCACGCCTACGCCAGAGATGGTGTAAGTTAGCGAAAGCAGCTCGACAGGTAGTCGAAATAACTAATCTAAAAGTATCATCAAGTCAATGTCGTTTACAACTTCAACCAGTAGCATAAATACGTGTAATATACTGAAATTAGCTAAACTCCGTTTTTATTATCCTTCTTTATCTGAATCATGGGTATGAGAAAGTTCTGAAGGGTCATTCTAAGGTCAATCGACTCACTGTTAAAATCACCTATAATTTAGATTTTTCTATATACCAAGCTAAAATACTAGACTTTCTTAACTTTTGAATTGTATCTCATATATCACCTCAATATGTTAATCAGAAATCGTTTGAGATACTAATAAAATAGTGCACAGATGAAGTGAACTCAGGGTGATCACATGTTGTACTGTTCTTCGCTAACAAAGTCTAATCATGTAACATAACTAGCATCAATTTATTTGAATGAAGAAAACACGAACACAGTCAAATTCGCTAAGGGTATCCGGTTGCAAGAAACATCAATTTCCGTTTTCCTAAACACAATCAATTTGGAACTGTGAACAGTTTGTCATCCAGTTTCAATGAGTATTTGTTTGACAATCTCTCATATTGATATCCTGATATTTCCCTGCATCTGATGTGAATGTAGTTTGCTGCAATTGTACAGGTGATGTTGACTTTTCTATAATATAGTTTTACTTGATTTTTTTTGGATAGGTGCAAACCAAGTAACTATTGAATTTTTCATTTTTACCATCCGAACTTATTATTAGTGATATTATCTCTTTTCGCAATATATGCCTCCACCTTTTTCATTTCACATACTCGTTATTTCATTATGAACCTCTCATTGCAGTCTTACTATCTCCTGTTTAAGACAGATCACTTTGTACTAGCCACTCACCTGACACCTTCGATAACCTTGAACTGATTTGTCAATTTTCCTACCCCACACTCTACAAATCTATTATGAATAATCACCGCCATTGTCTCCCGTTTTACAATATTTCTAATCGATTTCAGCCTAGCACGTTTGTCACACAAACACGACTATTCATTTTGACAACCCATGACCAATCTGTTATTCTACGTTAGAAATGTATCCACTGCATAACTGGCCTATATTGTAACGACCACAAATATTACATTTTATAATTGTAAGAACCTGAAGAGAAATTATTGAAAAGAATATTCTTCGTTCAGATTGACTTTTAATTCAAGCAGCATGTTTTTGTTATTATGCTGCAAAGCTCTTATTCCCAAACACAACCAAGCGGGTGCTTCAGTATTCTGAGAAAGACCAGTTACTAATCTTGGAAATTACTTATTGCGTGTATGAGTTTGAGCGTATTTATGCAAGCAAGTACATAGGTCGTACGGCAAATTGACTACCAGCTAGCTCGTGTGACTAAGCATTTGCCTAAAATAGCTGAGAAAAACTGAAGTCAAAGTGCTGAAATGTTCGATAACAAAGTGTATTATAGAATATGAATGTAATATTAATGCTGTCAAGTTATTTACCGTTGTCAGCAGAGAAATAAACAGAAAGACGCTTGCAACCGCAGAGGCTTCTGCTGTTCCCTGTTTGTGAAAGGAAATGTTAGAATCTTTTATTTTGTTAACTGCTATTATTATTACTATCTTAGTCTATTCCATCTTTGTGTTCCTATTGTCGCAATCAATCTTAACTCGTCTCACTATTATTAAATTTTCAGATCCTAACATTTCTAAGTCCACTGCCTGATAACCAATCGCTTACTGTAGTGATACAACTGAACTGCTATATATCAAATATATCCTATCATATTTCCAATTCCCCCTATATCCATTCCATCCCCTATCTAGCCACATGACTTATAAATATGTTCAGCTTTCGTGTATCATGATAGATTCGGTGTAGTCTATCCACAACTCACATATCCCCTAACATATATATGAAATTCACTCAGTTGATGGTACAACTCCTCCTTAATCGCAATCAGTCTACCGTCTACCAGTGCATACACAGATTAGGAAAACTCAACGCTTATCTGACTTATTCTTATATAAACTTCTGGCCTCACGACAGAAACGACTGTTAGTAGGGATGCAGTTGAGTGCTGCAGCTGCGGCTTTAGCGCTTAGTTTCACACCGACACCAGCTAACCGCGATCCGGTCACGATTGTTCATTGTTTAAGATGTATTAATGGTATTCTTTCCGTAGGAATGATGTCTAACAAGTATATAATCGTAAAGACTCTATGCTCGAAGAAAATGATGTCTTGGTGATGCAAGTATCACGTGTGCTAGTCAGAACACTAAATCTTAATCGCCAAGGGCACGAACGGCTAACCAACACTTATCTAACATTTCAGAAATATGAGTAAGACTAGGTTCGCGTGACAACCAAATCGCATGGTTAAACTGCAAACGGCGAAGCACCGAGTGCGGTGGTGGACGGCACACAGTCTTCAACTGAGTAGCAAAGCGTCAGATTCAGCTGTCTTTCTCACTTCCCCATTTCGCTTAGCCAATTGCACGTAACAAATTAAGAACTTTGTTAGAAAGAAAAACATAGTGTAAAAATAATTTATTCGTAATTAGAACTTAGCAAATCCGTGCACTCGATCATTTGGATAAAAACAGTATGTACAGGAACCCCTAAAACCTATGTACACTGGAAATTCTAAAGAGTATGATTTGTCAAGGTCATTTGCCGGTCTCAGGACTCATACACTGTACTGACGTGTCAACATTTGTGACTTCTTTCTTCTTTTTTTCTTTTTCTGCGTACCTATGTTTTTTATGCTTTCTGTGTTTCTTCAAATGCTTCTTATCAGGTATTTCAAAATCTGGACACAAGACACCACTAGCAGTGACCGAAACCTGGTTCGTTGCATCATTAGTGATTTGAACAAGATCCCTAGTATCGTTATTAATTTTAACTATGAAATAGGAATTACCTTTTCCCAGAATGCCTGTGTTTATGCTTCTTGTTTTTCTTCTCTTTCTTAGATATCATCACCTCAACCTCAGGAGCGAGTAATTCATGGCTAACTACATTGCTTATAGAGGAGCTTTCTACTAAACACTCATCTCCAGAAATAAGATTGTTATTATGACTCAGAGTAGGAGATTGTTTTGCCATTTCACCGGAGGATGTATCCTCATGGGACTTGATGTTTGGAGCTGGACTGGAATCCTCCGAATCGTCAGTTGGTCCAGATTTAACTAATTGTTTTGGAACTATGTCTCTTGGCAAGGAAGGATTCCTAGGTCCTAAAAACACTGTGGTTTAAGATTAAGAAAACTTACCGATTGACTCATTGTCAGAAACATCGTATTGAGGAACAATGGACGTAGGTGATCGGCTGTATTGAAGATAAAAAGGAAATGAATAGTAAGAATAAATGGATATGAAAATTTAGTAGTAATGTAAGACATGTAAGTAATGTTAAAGAACGGTAAACAGTACCTAAAAATGGTCTTTGAAAATATCAGCGAATTAAGGAAATAGTGTCAAGCGTATGTACAAGCATCAGTGCAGTCATTCGGAGAGAAGCTAATTCAAATGGACGGGTGATGAATATAAGTACGTATTATGAGGACTAGAAACAAGATTTTAAATTAACAAAAATACAAAATACTTTGCATAACAAATACACATAATACACAGCACAAGACATTTCAGTTACGTCTTGCAAGCTTTCAGTATAAACCAAACACAATATTAATCCCAACACTTTAATTCGCCACATCTCACATCAATAAGTAAAAACTGAAGGCAATGAAGCAAATAAAACAATAGTGATTATGTTACAACGGATCGTATGCCAGAAGACAAAAAATACAGGCGACATTGTAATTTAAATAAATGTAACGGGGATACCCTAATATCCCATTACTAAAACCCCTCAGTAACATCAACAACAAAAGCACATTCTACTATGCATCCTAGGTCAAAAAAAACAAAATAAACGAAGAAAGTTAATTCTTTCACAATGCGTTATCCGCTATTTAAGCAACAAGAGTAAAATCTGTGAAATGTTTGAATATAAAAATTGGTAATAAAACGGATGTACATCTGAAACTGCTAACCCAAAGCCAATGACTACGAACAAAGAATTTCTGGGCAACGCAATGTAACAAAAACAAAAGGTGAAAGACATACATCAATTGTTTTTGACTCACTACAAACTACTACACTTGTTTATTTTAAATAGAAACGGTCAAAAGAAGTGCTACCGCGAAATTATGATAGATGTAGGCTCCACAACAGGTCCTCAAATACGTCACTGTAAACTTCCATTTAGTCACACATCATTTTACACTAACACGTGGATTTAACGAAATAAAATGTTACAAACCGGTGGTAATCTAATCTAGTTATGAGCAATTAGCATTAGAAAGTATCCAAATAAGGGAATAGGCATATATTTGGACTGGGAGAACAGCGCTAATGGCAGAGGTCTACCTACTTCATGAAAATCTTTGTTCCTTTAATAGCGGTGATAAAAATGAAAATATTATGCTCTACTATTTTAATAAGACTCGGCGTTCGTTCGCTAACTTATGCTAAAAAAAATCTAACGGAATGGTTGTGAAGATTTAAGCAATGAAAAGTGAAGTGTTTGTTCAATTTCAATTACCCTGAAACAGATCATTCAGACGTAGAGTCACACTTACCATATGAGGGGGCAAGACGCTACCTTGTTGCCTAGATTGAAGTAGGTGGAGAGGAAAACCGAGTGCTTAAGCCGATGAGCCACATCTTTAAAAGTGCAGTGAAACATTTCAATAAACTACAGTCACGCTACTGAGTGCTAACAAAAATGTGATTCTTACTTATAGATGGGAACAGGAAGTTTCAAAATTACAACACTATGAAATATAAACAAAGACAAGCAAAAATGAAAGTGTGCTTCATCGTGTCGGTGAAATTCGTGACAACTAATTTCATTAAGTTGATGGCGAAGATGCCACCAAAGTTGATAACGAAATATCGAAGCTCATCTAACATAACAAGCTTCTACCACTCTGTTTTGACTGTAGGACAGTGACTGATACCTAGACACTTCTAATGAACGGGTACAGATCATTATGCGAACACGTGTATTCAAAATAACTATGGTAAAATAAGGATTATTCCGATTAGTTCACTGTCTCTAGAGCACCAGCACCGAAATTACAGTAAGTGAATGTAAAACAAGTGAACAATAGAAGTATCCCCATAAGTACCACAGTCGGGTAGAAATTTGTCATGAAAGCCGAAGATATTGATCAGTAAACGGCCGACTAAACTCCTTAAGTTAAGCAAAGACTAATACATCTAAGAATCACCCAAATTCATAAGCTATATTGATTTTTGTGGGGCGCGTGGACAATTTACTAGACAGGAGTAAGACTAGCTAAATCCACCTCATAGTGACGTTCATGATCAGGATACTTCTTGTAATAACCAAAAGACTGAACCTAGCGTTTTGAGATTACCGAAATTACAGTAATTAGTATTAAAAGCACCAAATGCTAGTTACTTGATATAACCGATGCACTGGCATACAGCCCGAACCCACTAATTAATCAAACATTTTAGTCTGGTCGAATATTTCACAGCCACAATCTATGACAGTATTTTGCTGAGGTTAAGAACTGCCACAATTCATAACGCTTCAGCGTGACTACGCTGAATTAACGTACCTGACCTCTATAACAATACAAGCCATGCAATCTCCGTCAGTCATCAGCTGTGACATACTATGAAATTCGATTCCAATTGGTCCGCTTGACCGTTAATTGTGATAAAGACGTCAGGGCAACCAACTGATGTATGCAACCACGGAAAAAGCTATGATTTAAACCAGGCATAAACAAATATTATTGTTTTTCAACAGTCCTATGAGCACAGTAACGATTTTCTTCCCTAAGAAATCGTATGAAACAATTTGATGGTACGAATCAATGATTTGAGATGCTCAGACACATACCTCAAAATAGCACGGATGGGATTATGCCAATTTCAATATTTCCAAAAAATTATTATTTTGAACCCCTTCATTAAATACTATATTTCTGTGAACATCGTTCCGTACATTTTTCAGATATACATTAAATTCCAAAAATGACTAAACCCAGTGTAAAGTTTTGCAGAGTGTAAACTGACTTGTCTGTTATCAAATATTATCAGCTAGTTCTCTTAATGATATACACTATGCTCATCGAATATGTTATGAAAGCAAGAAAACCAAAAAGAGAAGAAAACTAACCAGATACTTCTTAGAAATAAAAAGAAATTTATTTACCACTACATACCTTGTTTTACGTCTTGGTAAGATTTCATCATAGTCGTCACTGATGATATGTGGCTCCCGACATCTGCGCGCATCCAAGGCTTCGTGAGTGACCGGAGAGACACTACTACTTCGATCCTTGTATTCATGCCAACTATCTCCACCTGTAGGGGAGTGTCTAGAAGACTGTCTGGACCGACGTTCAGGACTATGCGGGTAGTCCCTTGAACGATAACGCCTCCGACCACTGTCTTGGATGTATGTAGGACGATAATGATAACGATGTGTATCGCTCCTATCACGGTGTGAATCATAATCATCAGCGTGACGATGTCGACACCGACTTCGTTCAGCTTCATAGTCTAAGGGTGAGCGATGTCGATATCGCCTCTCCCGGTCACCACGATGGTGACGTGCGGTATCTCCACGCCGCCGATCAGTCCGATATGCATAGCCAGGGCTACGGGAACGAGATCGGTGACGATGCCTATAAATCAAATTTGTTTTAATAAAATATTGAAAAATAAAGAAAACAAACTGCTATGTAGAACCGTTGAGTACACACCAGTTAAGCAAGATAGCAGTACACACAACATCTCATCAAAACAATGAAGAATGATCATTCAGACAACCACATATTTGTGTACAAGATCAAGGGTACCAAAGTGAATAAAGCATACAACTTAGTAGTGAATAATATGAGCTATATATTAATCAACCCATCAAAAGTAATTACTGCCACAATTTATTGTGAAAAAATCAGACCACTTTTGCTGTTTGACAACCACAATTGTATGTTTAGATTTCTTCAGACAGAAGCTTAAAACTTTCCTTGTGTGAAAAAGATATCCTAGCAAACAAAGTTCTACTTACTAAAACCTCACCTTCCAGTGAAAGCAATCCTATTAAAACAAAGAATTTTAATCGCCATCTAGTTTCCACCACAAGACCAGGGGTCCTCAAACCAGAATGGTTAACCACGCAACTTTCCTTTATTAGTCGGCCTTTTTAATATGCTGCATATGAACAACACCAACTTCCTTAACTTCAGAGTAAAAGAACCCTACTACTGGAAGTCTTTGTGCTTGTTTCAAAATATTAATTCCCGAATAGCCTTACAACAATCCATACTGTCTGGCTAAAGCACACTAGCGGACACTTGATGTGAACTTAGCACCTTCATAACAAGCACTTTCAAATACAAAATAAATGTTTTGATAAAAAAAAACCTAACTTTTAGGTAGTTGTGTACTCTGAACTGGATGGTTTCATTGTGAATTAAACGCTTAGAGTGTTAAGAAAGACAATGAAAGCTCCACAATTAAACTTCCCAGTTCAAAGAACACAGCTACGCCAAAAACATTTAACTGAACTACAAATCCTCCATTACTTTAAGGGCTTTTTCATGCCCAGTAACGAATTTTCACGTAGCTGGAGTTAAGAGGTTCAACAGTTAAAGAAATCAGATTGTATAACAGCCTAAAATAAACAAACGACCGCAGATTTAAATTGGTTTACCTTCTACGAGCTGAATGGAGGACTTCCATTTTCAACCGATAGAACTCTTCTTTTGAAAGCATTTTGTGTCCATTTAGAGTTTCAACCGGAACGGATATAGCTGAATGCATCGTACCAGTGACAGACTGCCCAGGTACTAACCCAAAGGCTACCTGATTATTATTGACTTGTAGTACTGGACCAACTAACCCTGCACCCTGAGCGGCTGACACAGCTAAAGCTTTCTCAGCTGTCCAGCCAGGACCGCCAACAAGCGATCCGTAAGAGGCTGGTAACACGGTGGATTGAGTAGCCAATGGAGCCTGTAAGTCATCTAACCGTATACTATAAAGCGCATTAAAAAGAGGATTGTCAACACCATTAACATCTGGGAGTAAATTGGGCATGATAGTGGCAGGACTAGTATAACTTAAACAAGGAATTTGTGTGTTTGAAAGACAAGTAGTGGGCAACAGATTTTGTCTGTTGGTTCCCACCAAAGTGGTACAAGGAGAACTTGTGACCACAGTAGCATTTGTATTGTTGGTTTTAACAGAAGAATCAGTTAATTCAGAAACACGGACAGAAGGAAAAGATGAAACAACAGAAGTAGACAATGTCACAGAGTTTGTGGTTTTGGGTATTTCTGAGGATGGGATTAAAGACAAAGGGGTAGGTTCGTTTTTAACAACTGAATTGCATCCCGAAGAATTTGGTTGAGTCTTCACTGGATTCTGGAGTTGATTTAATTCTGTCTTTGTTGATTTGGCCGAATTGAGGTTGGCTGTTGCTTGCTTCGGTTTCAGCACCCGACGGCAGTTTACAAAAGCCTGAAACCAAGGAGACATTAAAACTAGATATCTTACCTTCTCATTTTCATTAATTTTCGGTATATCGACGGGAAGACGTACATCTGCTGCTACCACTTTCGTCTCGTCCGCCAGCCAATCACGGACTAAACTTCGTATAAGAGCATTTTCGAAGACACTTGATTCCTGGTCTGCAAGTACTTCTCCACAATTAGGGCATTTATGGGAACCCAGAACTTGAGAATCAAATACATGACCCATGATGCATTCGTTACAAAAAGTTGTCCCACAACATGATACTAGAACGGCATCACTAAATAACTTGTTGCACAGTGGACAAGTAAGCTGCTTCGGAGGAATCTTTTCTTGAGGTACATAGGGTGGATTTTCTTCTACGGAGAAAGGTCGTTTGTCCTTTTTACCCTGAGCATATGCCTCCCTGAAATTCGATTTGATTATACAAGAAGGCCACTTACGCATCTTTGATAGGTACCATGTATTTTCCAGATTTCCCCAAGTAAGCACCAGGGGTTCCAGCCTCGACCTCCAGAAGGAAATCTTGCGGAATACCTGTTGGGCGTTTTACTGACTTTGCATCCAAAATCTTTCCCGTTTTATCCCGCACACCAGGGCAATTATGAATCCAGTGTCCCGGTTGATTGCACTTGTGACAGACATAAGCTACCGGAGGTACTCCATATGGTTTCGCTCGGACAGTGAAACTAAAAAGATGAATTTTAGTATACTTAGTTACTTTGATTCCGAATAGACCTCTGAAGATCTCTCCATCATGATTTTGATCTTCTCCTCTTCTGGAAGATCTGAATCTGCTAAATTAAGATGCTAAGAAGGTGAGTGCTATTCAACGAACATACCTTGGAACTATGTGAAGCTTCGGACGTTACTGACTGCTAGGGAAAATAACAAGAAAACGGCGAATTACTACTGTGAAGTGAAAAGTTTACATAAAAAGGAACAAAATAATCATGAATGGTAAAGCTTCCGACCATACTCCTTTTATCATCTGAACGCCTGCTGAGTAGGTTCCTACACAAAAGTTGTTTTCAGAATTAAGTGGTCGAAAAGCACCTTGTCCATTAGCCGCCTTCGCCAACACAACACGCTGGCTAATTGATGAATCTACGATTTATTTGCAGACATGCAACTGTTTAAATTGCCATGCTGCTAGAAAGCACAACGGTAAATATATACGACTTTGAATGGAGGAAGTAATGTGGGATAATTTATAAGATCATCGGATAATTCATAACCTTTAAACTAGCTTGAAAAAAAAAACATTTTCAGTCTATACCATTTAGTAGTGACACTATTTTAGGAAGGGAATGTCGAGTAGTATTTATTTTCCTCTTATTTGTTTTAATGTGTCATGTGCTGCATGAAGATATTTTCGCTTATCTCAAAAAAGAAAACCAAGAAATTATCAAGTGTAAACAGCTGAGTAATTTGTAATTTTCTACGCAATTATTTAACATACATTTTGGCCGTTGGTTTGTCATGAGTTAATCTGAAAAACTTTGATGTACTGTACTTGTTGATGAGCAAATATGCGAATAAGATTTTTTTTTAAAAACTAATCTTATCCTACAAGCAGAGAAGCTTAAGCGTATTTTCAATCAATAAACAAAATGGAATACAATAAATAGGTCAGCGGTGACTAGGCATACGTAACACATGTCGTAACCATCTTAGTCGATGTAATTTCACAGCCTAGTCGATTGATTTCCCCTCCTTACCTAGCACTCGACGCCTCACCTCAATATTGCTTACCTTATTATACCATTTCACACGGGAGATAGAGCGCAAGCACCTATGATCGAAGACAGCTAGCTAGTCTTTTCATGTCTTCCACTCTCAATGGCCTGGTCTCACAGCCATAGAGGAGGACGGAGTGGAGTGATGAGCAGTACACCCGCCCTTTAGTCGATAGCCGGATATAACGTCTACGCCAGAGACGGCGTAAACTGGCATATGCCGAACGAGCATTCTGTATTTGTGCTGAGATTTCGTCAGCGATCAAGCCACGAGGACTGGCTGACGGTACTTCCCAAATAAGTGAAGCGGTCAACGTGCTCTACCACTTAACTCCCCATTTCTAAGCTAGGAGTCAGTGTAGTCCTTGGTAGCAAGTCAATTCCTGAGTTGCTGGGTATCCCCGACGGACACCACTAATCGTCACCATTTCAGATGACAATTCCCCGTAAGCTCTCACCTGGCTGACTGCATGAGTTTGAGTAGAGTGCCTTGATCAATGCAATGTATTTCCTCGGCATTCCCACCAAGACCAAGCATCGCCAGAGTACCTCTCGGTCGACAGAATGGAATCCCGCCTTTGGCCAAGAAATATAGTAATTGTTGGACGCCGGTAGGAATTCCTATGTTCTAGAATCTGTCGAAGGGTGAAGAAACGATCAATCCACCCTCTTTCTGGTCTAAAGGCTCTCTCGTGTTTGTGCCTCCCGAGCACCACTTAATCTACGCAATATTATTGAACCATCGTAATTAAATGCCTCTGGGATCATTCTTTCGGATCCCGCTGCTTCGCCTCGTTTCAGATTAGTGACGGCCTTAGTAACCTCAGTTAGCGACGGAGGACCTGTGTCAATGTCCTATTCAGGGAGGCGTTGGATGTTCGGCAGGCTAAGCGTGGCTGTAGGCCAATCAGACTGCTCCTCATCATAGTAATCTTTTCAGAGTTCTAGCCGTCTGTTCTGGGAGCTAATTATTATGCCATTTTTCTCAGAGATTGTTTCACTTATCATTTGCCTTTCACCACCTGTTTCCCTGATATGCCTAAATAGTTGTCTGGTGTTACCAATCGCTGAGGCCTTTTCCATCTCTTTCGATTTTGTCGCCCACCACTGTTCACGGTCGTTAGTAAGGCCTCTTGTTAGTTTTCGTTTGAGTAGCTTTCGCTGCTCATCATAATAGGAGCTAGCCGGAATCAGTCTTGCATCAATCAGTTCAGATGAGGAAGTAGAAATCCACTAGCTCTTACTTAATTTCGGTCTTAAGGTTATTAGCAGATTTTACAGCTGTTTTCATCCAACTGTGTGTTGTGCCAGTCTAGCTAAGAAGTCCTGCGGTCGACCTCAGACACTCGTTTAGCTATTTCTTCCTTAAATAGGGACTCAGTGTCTCGATCTAGTTGGGGACGTAACTGTTTCGCTGCCAACAACTTTTAATGCTCGTTTAGTCGTAAGCGTAAACGTTCGCAAACCAGAGCGTGATCAGAGTCTACGCCCGTGTTTCAGGAGGAGCAAAACTCTTCTACTGACACTAGCCAACGATACCCTTTGGCTATGTGGTCTATCTGAGTCCATCCTTGATTTGGTGATGGAGGTCACCAGGCTACGCAATGTCTCTCTTTGTGTTTTAAGTTAGTGCTGACTAGGAACAAATGACTATCTGAGCAGAACTGTAGAAGACGATCACTATTGTCGTTTCGTCGACAGGGAGCTCTATACATGTCACCTGCATACTCCTCAGACTGGCACAACTTCCCTACTTGGGCATTGAAGTCGCCTGCTAAAACAGCTATATCTGAACGTTTTGCTTTTTGCAGCAAATTAAACAGTTTTAGGTAGAAGTCATCCTTTAGTTCATCCGAACTGCAGTCTGTTGGGGCATAAGCGGAGACTGCGAAAAGGCAACGACGGGTAGCGCCGTCTTTCGTTCTTTTAACGGACCCATTCAGACGGTCCGCGCACATACGACTTTCTAATACCTACTGGGATCCAGTCAAGTATTAAAGTAGAATACTGAACTAAACCTCACTGACTCTAAGATAGCAGACTTGATTTGATATGGAATAACCTGTCGTAGGGTTTCCCAAAAACTTTTGACGTGTATATACATAGATATACATATGTGATTTACGACATAGCATACACTGACGTTAGTTGTAACCACCGCTACTTGAGAGCCAGTTAAAGTGACAAACTGAATTTATCATCCACACTAAGTCTGCCAATGTATCTTTCTGAAGAATAAGATAAAATAAATCTAAAGAACCCAACCACGAAGGTAGAGATGAAACACCAATGAGCATTTTAAAATCAACCACCAATGAATTTTAGGCGCAAACAATACGGATTCCTTAATGTATCTGTCACAAATATACCAGTAATAAATACAGTACACAGTGCATACTCCACGACTTAAATTAATGTATTCGCGAGTATAAATATAGGGTGAGACAGAATCATGCTTTATCAGCACTATATTGTACTTGAGTAACATAACTATGCATATACACTTCAAGGGACTTTTATAGACTGTAAGCTAGGACAACTGACCCGTCGGTGATCTGGACAGTTATACAGGCCAAGTGAAAACCTCACAAAAATGTTAGTGCTTCGCAGGGGACCGAACGTTTCAAACAAATAAACTTAAGACTAACATTGTGATTATTAGGAATGCATGACTTAGATGCTCCAAATATAAGGGAATTAGTGGGCCGATGACTAACAAACCGAGTGTCAAAAGACTGCACAAGGATGTGCACATCAGAGCTGATGACAAGAATATATTTTTGAATAATGCATATCAAACAAAACTACATGAGCACAGAATTCCCCAGGTACTAGTACAAACTAACGCAGGTACGGACTACTACAAAAAAAATCCCCATACAGCTCCGGGAACAGCTTTTATTTTGGGCTACATCACATGAACAGTTGCTGCGGTAGTTCAACGGTAGAATGTCCACCGACTACGCACCAAAGTTTGACTTCCGGCTGAAGCAGTCACAGACCTCACTTAGCTGTTAGTGAATGTTGGGAGGAAGGCCAGCTACCCCATCCCGTAAACATTAATCACTACTGAAACTCAGAAAGCCCACCACAGGGCGATCGGAAACAATTACCCAACAATTCAAATGACTCAAAAGGTAATATGAAAAGCATCATCCTCCACGAACTTACATTCTTTTGTAATTCATTCCAAGTCAGATCTTCCGGACCACTAAACATCAGTTTACTAAAATCAATTGATGTGAACTTACGCAACCTTCTTCCTCATACTTTCTGTGGTCAATCTAGGAACCCGTCGAACAACGATATTGGAGTACTTTGGGATCAATTCATCGTCTTTCGTATAAACTACAGCATATTACATACATGTTAGATGGTACCTTTTCCAGTGACGTCTTCCAACTTAAGATCAAAGTCTGTTGAGTACAAACAGCATCTAGCTCGTATGGCATTTTTGAGATCCTTCACAGATATAGAAGACCCATCGAAGGAAACAGAATCTGTCTTTACATTTGCCTTGAACTTGAAGTAGACAATCGAGGACATTCCGACAACTGTATGGGACAGAAACTGCGAGCGGTAACATTCAGTAAAACACACCTTCAATATTCAATATATGTAAACGTCAGTATTAGGGACATTAGTTTGTAGTGCGTTAAAATAACACCCGGTTCATCTCGAAAACAATTGCAGGATTAAGTAAAAATCTAAAGAGGGCTAATAGAAAGTTTCATATTAGTTCATGTTTATTACCGACAGATGACTTTAGCTCGTGAAAAAAGTAACTGTTTTTCTGGTTCACTTCTTGAGTCTTGCGCCTTTTAACTGTGGTACCAGCTAGACCTATCCTTGCAGGACAAAGACTAAGATATAGTAAATGCGTAGTTTTAATGGCGCACCAAAATAAAACTGTCTAAAAAACAGAGAAGTGCGTCGGTGGCATAGCGGTTACGACGCTCGCCGACCATGCATATGGTGCGAGGTTCGATACCCGGCCAGCGCACTCCTTTACCTCACTGAGCCGGAAATAATGCTGCTAAAGAGGAAAGGTTGGGCATGAGGCTAGCAACCCCATCCTGTAGAAGTTAACACTGCTACAGAAACTTCAAGCCACTAGCTTGGAGCCCTATTTTCCACTGGGAACGTGAAGGAAAAAAAACAGAGAGCAGATAGAAATATCTAAACACCGAGTAGATAAACTTCAAGTTGGCCTCTGGGCGTTTAACGTGTTGTATGTTTTGTTCTAACCGGTATGAGTTTGGGAAGGCTCCAATGCCGTTTCGCACATTGCCATTATTAGCCAGATACTTTTACAAACACCTCCCTCAAAAATAATACTTCCGAAGGTTATGAAATTTTTTGAAGGTTCTGTCAGTTGTACTTACAGGGTGGACAACATAGGAGGTGAGCGAATACCAGAAGATAAAATATTTAGTAAAGCAGATCAAGTATCATGTGATCATACATAATTTGTGAAAATAAATACGATTTTTTGCCATACCTAGTTCTATGTTTGCCGTCTTTCAGTGACCTGTACATTCATAGAAAAAATAGTGCTATGCTTTCGTATTCACATTGCATTTAAGATGAAACTTAACTATGGTGTTCCCAGTTGTTTCTCACTACACCTTACTTCCCATCAAAGGTTGAGAACGACTCTCCTGCGAGGATGCAGTAACTCTCCTACACATACGAAACCTGGTCAAAAATACCATGTGATCGTGGGTCGGCTCAGCTTGCTGTGAGGTATATCTAGTCAAGGGAAACTAGTTTGAACTCTGCCATTTTAAGATCGTTTCAACCAACCAGATTCAACAAGTGGCATGGACGAATCGAAGAAAGTGCAATAATTGTTTACACATTCGAATCATGGTAACATTTGTGATGCCGAATGACTTGCCACAAGAAGCAGTAGGATTCAGTTTTAATTATGCATCCCACGAATAGCTGTCGTTACAGATATGAGTCTAGTCAGTTTACGGAATCCTAATAACATTTCATAACTACCTCTTGGGGGAGCTGGAATAAAGGATGATGTCAATGTAGTTGAAGATTGAACGATCAATTCATGGTTGTTTGCTCAAAACCAACTTCCCCAATTTTCGCGGAGGCATCAATACGACAGTCATCGTCTCATCGGTCGCTGTTCAGAAAGAAGTCAGGTCAAAACCGTCAGAAGTAATATTGTGATTTATTATTGTAATATTTGTTCACAGACCTTAGTCATACGTGATTTATATGTTGGTGTAACAACAAAGAATCCTCGAGTCACCAATTGGTGTTTTGGTTCTTTCGTCCGTTATTACTAAGCGTTTCTGAGAAACTTCAAGCGACAGCGTGAGCCCGAGCGTAGCAAGAGCTGGGCATTAACGGTTTACGAGACATGGCTGACAGATGACTTCAGTGGATCACACGTATGGACTCAAGTTTAAACATTTTTCAGCTCCGCTTTTGGAATTTATCGCTGATCCCGGTAGATTTACATCATGACTGATGTGAATACTGGCATCAGTTTACAAATTTCTCGTAGAACCGCCAGTTGCTGAGACGTATTGATCAGCATTATCGACTAATTGGAGATCGAACTGACGTAACCTCCGGTAACATCTCATAGTCTTCGATGCAGGTAAGGTAAGGAAAGGAAAGGTAGACACAAATTATAGGATTTTTCCACTCACGAATCCCCACAATGTCTGTCAATGGACGTGAACATTGAACGTTTGTTCATTGTAACTGGTAGCCATTGGTGGACAGCTCGAAGGCGCGAATGGTTCAATCGTGTACAAGTTCGATTAAGATGAACAGAAACGAATAAAAATACATTATATTTCGTATATAACATTTGTATATATATTTGCAATATGACCTTCAAACGAGTGCTGGTGTTTTGGAGTTGAAGTCGAGAAAAGTACATAGTAATTATCTTCGTAACAATAGCAACTTGGGGTTAAGTTTCCTTGACAACGTCCGAAGCAAAGATATAATCAAGCATTCATACCATTTAGGATTATGCGTTAGCTATGCGTTAGCAGATGCAATACACATCAGAATTTCCTGTCAACACTGGGATCGACGAAGTAATTGTCTAAATGAGTTACTTGTGTGGCAAAAGGCTACAATTGATGATATTAATGGCAAACAGGCCAAGTCAAGCTTACGCCTAGCAAAACATCACAAAATAGACGTAAGTTGTAGTGGTATGTATCTTCGGCTACACTAAGGTAGCGAACACAGATGGAGCACGTAAGAACTGGTTTGAGAATGGATTAAAGCTCGTTTTAACTAGTGCTAATTGTGAGTGTGAGAGCGCCAAAAATGTAATCCATGTTCACAGGACCACTTAATCAGTATAAGCATAGGGTCTTGGCAGTACACATCATTTTCTAGATGTCTATACTGTAACGCTCCACAAGTCCCTCCCATGAAAAACATTCCTAGTTCTATGTTTTATTTATTTCATCCTTTATGTTCCCAGAGGAACACAGGGCTTTAACCTAGAGCTGTAAGGTCTCTGCAAGAGCACTTTTTACTTTTAGGGGATGGGGCTGCTAGCCTCAAGCTCAACCTTCACTCTTTACCAGTCGTATTACTGGCTTAGTGACGTGGAGGAATGCGCTGCCAAGCGGTCGAACCCTGGAACACATGTGTTGTTAGCATGCATTCTACCGCCACACCCAGTCCTATATATCCGGCGATGATAACTATCATGCAATAATACCGAGTAGAATACTCGTTAGCAGGTCAGTGTATTGATTACTACCTTGAGACTTAGACTTGGAGTTCTCCCACCTGACATGCACAAGTAGAGAATTGTAATACTCAAAACCAGTGGAGGTGTGTTTCGTTGAAATATGAATTATTGCGGTAGAAAACACTAGTCAAAGTTCCAAGTTCCACTAAAGATCACCGAAACAACATAAGAACTGCACTTGCTTTTATTTTACTCGCAAACAATATCGATAATCGGTTAGCAATTACTGAGATTGGTTTGTTCTTCGGTAACGCCACCTGAAAATACTCAAACCTGCTAGATCTAGGATTATGCCGCTTTAACTGCCAGTGGGTTATTGGCGAACAAATTAAATCATACATGATTCTATTCAACTAATTTGTCTATCCCTTATGTACACATGCTGTTTTTGAATTTTTAAGGGATACAATTCATTCTTCAGCGGTAGACTCAGGAGCAAAACGTGCGCATAGGTATAGGTAGGTAGGTTCAACATTTTCAATGGTCGCCTATACAGAACTTAATATTTCGCCTTATGATTATTGTATTTCTGGCCTGGATGTATGCTTGGTTCTGTGGTCCGCAATTCGTACTGGTCGCAGATGGTGGCATTTATTTACGCGATCGAAAAATATTTCATACCAAGGTCTGTTGTCTTGCCCAGGCTTGAACCAAAGTGAACGAATATATATGCATAAAGTAGGATTATCAAGTCTGCACCAATATGATTTGAAAGTAAGTTCGCAACTTTCCCTCCAATTACACACGCAGATTGAACAATGCTGGAGCTTACTTTCGATTCTCACCAATATGACGGCAGACAGAATGTCAATAGGAAGGCCACTGTTTATACAGACTGTAGGTAAGCCTTTGCGAACAATCATATCAATTTTAGTCACATGGTTTCACAGTTTGTCTTACATACATTATCTCTCTTTTTGGCTCTCCACATTCTTTATTGTTTGTTGCCACTCTCCATATTTCCAGTACAGGCAGTGCGCCATTCCGATTGAACGTGTACAGCGTTGAATCGATAAAACAGCTTCACTGGTCAACCTCTCTCTACACCCTATTTTGTGATTACATGCGAGTAAACACAGTGTAATGTCTGAGTTTTATTCTAGGTTGTCTAACTTATCGGCGTCAATTATTCTAGGTGTTGCTAAATTTTTATGTTCCAAAATTCTAACTAACCCCAATCTACTGGTTTTAGCTATTTAATTGATCCCACTAAGAGCCATTAAATGGTATGTAATCCCAAAATAGGGTGTAGAGAGAGGTTGACCAGTGAAGCTGTTTTATCGATTCAACGCTGTACACGTTCAATCGGAATGGCGCACTGCCTGTACTGGAAATATGGAGAGTGGCAACAAACAATAAAGAATGTGGAGAGCCAAAAAGAGAGATAATGTATGTAAGACAAACTGTGAAACCATGTGACTAAAATTGATATGATTATGATAAGTAGTTTATTCTTGGGATGTTATCAGGTTGTTAATCCTGCATCACTGTGTGATATTTAAAATAAACCTATTTAGTATAGAATGACATTGTACCAGAATCGGAGAGGAAAGATACACCATCATCAACCTGAAACCAGTTTGGAAATCTTCCGCACTCAGCATAAGTAAAAATATTTGGATTTTCAACACAAATATTAAGTCAACCAGATCTTCTACATGGGTCAGAGACTTACACTGCGTGTCATGAAAATGATTCCCAATGGCTTGCAGATTTTCATCGACAGCTGTCTTCGCTGACTCCATATTGAAGATTGAATTGCTGGCCAGAAATAATTAGCGACAAGAAACTCTTG